TTAGATCAATGTGGTATGACGTAGGCGTACAGAATACACGTGCGGACATTTATTGTTTGATATCTGCCCGTCTTAACTGTTCTGGTGCTATCTAGTTTCAAAAGACAGCCCACTACACGTTTATCTCGTTAAGATAACAAAACACTCATCTTCCATTTCGACGATAACTTAAGCAGATCTCAGGCCTCGTGTGAGGTCCGAGGAGCTTCCATTAAAACTGAAATTAAGTTGGCTAATAATAAGTACCTTTCTGACCAACGGAATTTATCCCATGAGTAGCCCGCATTTTAAATTTGAATTGTAAGTGAAGCGTCCAAGTATATGAACTCCAGACTAGGATGTGGGAAGAAGGAATATCACAAAATATAACAAAATTTAATCAATTTTACATTTCGAAACGACATTAAAATTTCTAATTTTCATGACCCATAAATCTGATTAATAATAAAATATTGTTAAGACGATTAAATCGAGTGTGATATTGACTGAGCACGTAGCACGAATTGAACAGACAATCGCGTACTGTAAAGAAGTCACTTGAGAGACCTAATCATAAATGGCTGAATACAATAATATTGAAATTCATCTTACAGAAATATGGCATAAAAATATTGATTGGTTTCAGCTGGCTCAGGATAGTGAAGGCAAACTCCATACCAAAGGAAAGTTCTTCACGTGCTCTGGTTAGCATACTTTGCTACCAGTCAATTTAAAAGCGACGTTATTGTAATAAAACTGCCCCATAACAGCAAATGTCGCTAGGCGTCGATGAAATTCTCCAATGCTCGCTTCTTTTCAACACAGTTCGTTATCAGCGCGTCGCTCGTAACCTCCAGGCGAGCCAATGGCCTGCGACTCTGAGTAAGTGGCTGACTGCTAACCCCCTCCACCCCACCCCCCGGTCTTGTATGGGAACCAAAATGTTTGTTTTCGTGTTCACAAACAGTCCGTCAACGGCCCCCTATATTGAGCCAGATTAATCCAATCTACAACTTCACCATCAAACAAAACATCGGAATTTTAAAAGGACCTGTGTGAAATGATGGTGTCTGCCAACTGAACAAAGTGAAAAATGAGCAGTTCAAATTTTTCTTGGAGAAATACATGACTCATTTAATTCCAGACGAATCAACACTATGAAAAAACTATGTACCTGCCTGTTATGAAGATGTTCTGGAAAGAATTACATTTTCTGTGGGCGAGAATAAGATCTGGGTTTCGACTGATGAAACAAAAGATGTCTGCGGCAGATTTGTAGGGAATATAATTTTCGATAACGCCATAAAACGTTTGTGAGGACGAAAGGAGCTTCTCAAGTTACAAGACCATATTGTTCGACAATCTCAGAAGATTTTCATTTGAGACCTTAAAAATGCACATCGTTATATATACGTAGTAATACTGCCAAGAAAGGAGATCGAAGAAAGGTACTTAATATTTTAAATTTTATTTATTTATTTGTAATTAATGAATTTGAAATGCATGAAAGGCTATTTCTTAAAAATTTATCTTATTTTGATACAAGCACGTATTCAACATCTGTTACTGGTCCAAAAACGAGGCATTTACAACCTAAAGCGACTGAGGTCTTTTGATTAAAATTGCTACAAAACCAAGTAATTTAATAGTTGTACATTAATATGTAAATAAATAACACGATTGAAATAAAAAAGCTTTTTTTTTAAATTTAACGAATAATTTTCATAACAAATTACGTCATATTTTGCCTTTTTGGGGGCATATTTGTACGTATATTTCTCGTTTTTTTAGGTCATGAACATCCGAACTCTAATTATCAGTAATTAATAAATCGTTCCCATTTCTAATTACTTACTGGAGTTCGTTTCCTCACAAAAAGGACCTCGCTCCCGTATAAATGCATTGGATGGCCTGGCTTCATCTGCGTCTCACTGATCTCAGTGTGAAAGGGGCCCTTAGTTATGAGAAACCGAAATACGTGACCCCTGAACCTGGCAAATGGTTCCAGTGACATCAGCACTGACTAGGATCAATGACCTTTGGGTGGGCGAGTTGCCTGGCGCGTGTACGGCCGGGCGGGATGCCTAGTTCGGGGATTCCTCAAGGTCACGAGCTCTGAAACGGGCCCCCATCTTCATGAAAAGTGCCCGGCACTGGCCAGATTTTAACCATATTTTATTAAATGTCGGTAAAACTCGCCAACATTAACTTCTTTTTATAAAAATTCGTCCAGAGTTCTTCAGATACGAGACATTTTTGTAAATTTGTTACCATGGGACTACCACCAGTGGCAGCACTGTTGCCGTTTCTACCGATTTGTTACCCATCTGATAAGACTCCCTGGACAGGGGATCGGCTTCTACGTCCAACGGAGATCATAACACAGAAAATATCGCAAATAAATTAGCGACTCGAATTAACGATGATTGTGGTATAGCACTCCAAGACCACACGGTATACGGGTCACGGATAAAGTGAATATGAATTTCTTTAAACGTCAGATTGCAAAGCGACAGACAGACAGACTAGGGTGATCTCGTAATGCGTGAATGAAAGTGATTCTTCTCAGATCTAATGACTACCACCCTCCATCTGTACAGAAAAGTCACTAAAGTTCAGTTCATATCTCTCATTACATACTCTTACGTAGTCTCACGTTCTGAAACACGCCTCTGTTTTGATATCACACAATTTTTTTTTTCAAAAGCCTGTGTCATAGTGAGAAAATCGATCACGTGTTATCGATTCTCTTCAAATCGATTAGCTGGCTGTTGCGACTCATTTCACATCTAATTACGAAGTAAGTCTGTCAAATCAATTTGAGAGACAGCGTCCATAACGCCGGAGATACGTACGGACCACGAGTGGTTCGCTGGCCCTTATCTACGAACCAATGTTTTATGGCAAATCAATTTCTGACTCTGCGTCGATAAACCCGGATGACTGGTGCAATTCCCATGATGCATTACGGTGACACATGTAAAGCCGCGTCGCGTAACAGACAAATTACGTCTGAAGTTGTCTGGTGACGTACGAATGAACGCCCTTGATTATAGTAGATTTCTTTTCTCGTGAAGCTTTGATGGAAACCAATCAGAATAACTGAATGCGAACGCCCTTGATTATAGCAGATTTCTTTTCTCGTGAAGCTTGGATGGAAACCAATCAGAATAACTGAATGCAAACGGGTAGAGGGGAGTGAGGTCGGCCGGGCTGACTGCGCGCGTCTCGACCGCTTTCGGTACGGGGGTCACGTGGTACAGTTGTTGCCAAGTGTATCTACTTCAGTCGAATGAGATGGTTCAGTCCGGGCTCTCAAAGGCTAGACGTGACAACACTGAAACAAAAGACTTCATCTGACGGCAGTCCCCGCCCCCGCTGTTGTGATTGGCGGTTGTAGGTCACGAGAAAAGAAACTGGCGATAGTTTAGTGAAAACGCTCGCGAAGAACATCGAACGAGATGAAAATGTACCAGCCACAACTACAGGGTGGATCTGTACCTTAAAAGCTGATGATAGATTCTCAGATGTTCAAAGAATTTCATAATTATACCGATAATTTCTGTGATTCTTTGCCATGGCAACGGTCAACAACAAATGAACCGGATTTTTTTTTTCAAATAAGTTCAGAAATAAAACTTATTTTTGCCTAATCCGTTCGTTCGTATATTCATGGATGTATTACAGAGCATTCGGTTCTGAAAAGAGGATTATACCAAAGTCAATGACTTCCAAACATCTGTTCAAGGAAGACAAAGGAAGAATAACATTTATAATGGATATATGGAAGTATATTACTGCCAGAAACGAACGTCGCCAACTTACTAAAACAAAAAAGACTTGACATTCTAACCAAAAAAAAACGTTTGACTGCTGTGTTGCCATTTGCAGGTAAGATATTAATAAATTCATAATACGTTCGATCGTTTGACATGAGATTAATTACGTATTTGTCCTTATGGCGTGTGACTGCCTTCGTTTCTGAAATGTCCGAAGCACGGAAAACGAAGCGCTTCAAATCGACTTCCAGACCTGACACGAAGTTTCCAGTGGAGCCACTGTCGGTAACAACAGTCCGAATAAAGGAGACAGAGACGGGATTAGTAAACAGCACGACGCATTTGAGAAAATATATTTTTAGCAAACTTCACTAGAATCGATGTTATTTTGTTGTAAAAATAACCACACTGTATATAAACATCAGCCGCCGCGGTGGTCTAGCGGTTAGAACGCTGGCCTTGTAATCCTGGGGGTCTCGGGTTCGATTCCCGGCGGTGCCCGAATTTATAACTTGTGTTGGGCAAGGCCGTGGTCTAGGCAACACGGAGTTCTCCTCCGTGGCATCCCAACAATTACTCCATTCACACACAGAAGAAGGCAATGGCAAACCACTTCTGGATCATCTGCCAAGAACGTATATGAACAGGTCCCAGTCCGAGAAAAGGATGGAAGGATCCTGTTCATACGGACCTGTCGTCAGACAGAACACTAAATAATAATAAAAAAAAAGTCTGCACACAACCTGGACAACGTACGATGATGATGACGTATTGTAAAACTTATCAACATCTAGACCGGTAAAGTCTACAAAAAAATTCGCACTGCCGCCATGTTCGGTAACATAACTTAGCATACAAACTACATCCT